TCTGTCCAGTACAACCGCACCGGCCAGGGCAGCCAGTGCAACCAGGCCATCATGCTGATCACGGCTGGGCCCGTGCAGCCCGCCTACAAGGACGTCCTGAAGCACTACAACTGGCCGCACATGCCCGTCCGAATGTTCACCTACCTGGTGGGCAAGGACTCTACGGCCGCCTCCGAGATGCACAAGATCGCCTGCGGCAACAAAGGTGCGCCCGGCCGGAGACTGACTTTCCATTCTATTCAAAGGTGGTTTATATGTCACGTCGTTTCTATGACATTTTAATGGTTTTTACTACTGTTTTTTGCAGGGTACTTCAACCGGTTAAACAACCGGAAGGATGTGCGCGCCCAAGTGCTGAAGTATGTCCAGGTCATGTCCAGGCCTCTCGTCATGTACCAGAACGAGCACCCCGTGCAGTGGACGCCGGTATACAGGGGCGGAAAGGTAAGCGTAGGGTCGCGGGGATGGGTAGAAGGGGTCAAAGAACTGCCCTAGAGGCCCCTCCTGAAGGCCCGGCCTGATCTTGGCATTCCTTTTCGGTCGGAAAATTTTAGGCGACTTTTGAAGACTGCTAATTTTTGGTCTCTTTGCTTGCTAAAATTTGGCCCTCCAAGCGGCTGAGAGTCAGCCTTCTTTTGAAAGAAGATAAGTTTTTGGCTAGCAAATATGCCAAAATTGTCATTCTCCAAAAGACGGACTAAATGTTGCAATCAAAAAAGGAGTACCAACATTTTGGCAAGCTAGGCGACCACGGCGATGAGAGTGTCCTGCCCCGGCCCCCGGGCCCCAGTCTGCGGCGGTGCTGCCTGCATCCACTAGGAAAAGAAACGTGGCCAGAGTTTTCGGCCCGGTATTAATAAGACAGTGTTGAAGAAGAGTTTGTTTCTTGTTTGGTGGTCGGCGGAACGGGTTTGTTTTCCCGTAGTTGGCAGCCATGTGTTGACGACCGGAGTCGTCTGTCCCATCGCCTTCGCCGCCATCCTTCCTTTGCGAAGAAAAAAGAAAAGTGTGAGGGAAGGGACGGAGAAAAAAATAACTCAGACGCCCGAGCAAGGGGATGGCGCAAGGCATAAGGTCGCACACGACTGGGATTTGAATTCGACTAAAAAAAAACTTTGCCATTTCTTTCCGCAGGGCAACAGTCTTCTGCGTGACGAAGTCAAATACGGTCAGCTGATGACGTCTGTGAGCGCGCCAGTGTTCGACAGAAGAAACTCGACGGTGAGGGAAAACGGAAATGAGACGAGA